CAGTAGTGTAAATTTAGATTAAGTCCCTATTATTAAAAAGTTGATTTGCATTTCCTTCTTTCTAGTATTGATTTAAATTTAATCTTTGTTTTTTTATTTTTTCATTAAATAGTATAGTATAAATATAATGTACCCTTAAAATATATTTAAATACTTTTAATATTTTTTATATACTTATAACACATTCTACTCTACCTATACTACATTTCGCTCTACCAAAATTGTTCTACTGATGTACTTCTATTTACGTTTTGTGTACTTTTGTATGTGCATTTTAAAAAAATAATAATAAAATAAAAATAATAATTACAGTTACGTTTTATTATCGGATGAAACAAATAACTATTACACACTTGTCATACCTCAAAGAAAATCTTATACCTATCATTATCGTTCATGTATCACAATATATTAAAATTTCCCCTCATTCATGCAGTCAATCGCTCTTATTTTCCCTCAAATTTATTCATATTCATTGAAATTTCTAAATTTGCACTAACATTATTGTATTAACGGAATATAATTGTAAAATAAAATATACTAATGTAAGAATTACAATGTGAAAAATTTATTGAAATACAATTCAAAATAGGTACATAGAATTTAAATAAAATCATAGTATGTATATATATATATATATTCATTCAATCAATTAAGTTGCAAATTTATATTTTAAAAAAAATTGTAATAGAAAATTAGATATAATTTAGGGTTTTCATGATTATATATATCATTTTATTAATATTAGTTTATTTACTCTTCTAATTTTACTTATAAATGAGAAATTTTGATATTAATAATTTATACTTACTTTTGTACGAATTTCATAATTATATTTAATATAATACAAAATATTACCTAAATATTATACATAATATAAACTTTATTTTATGATTCAATATAATATTAGCAAAATATCTATATATATAAAAGATTATTCAATCAAATATTTAAAATCGTATATATAAGATACAATTTTTAAAATATTAATCAAATTTATTATAGTATTCTATATATTTTAAATACTTCTATGTATAAATATTAAGGTTTGTTTGTTTTGTGTTTTGATTTGAAGAAATTTTCTTTTTTTGCGTGAGGTATAAAAAAATGTATAGATAATATAAACATAACGAGTGTGCGTAATATATTAATTTTTGTAGAAAAATATGTTGAAATTTTTTCAAAACACAAACAAATCCTTATTCTATAGAAAATAAAATTTATAAGAAAATAATTAAATAAGTTTTCCTATCAAAGGATTTATATTAAATATATAGATCACGATTTTGTATTATTTTTTTTAATCTTTATTAATATTTTTATTTTTAAAATAATTTTTTTAATTTTTACTAATATTTTTATTTTTTTATTTTAAAATGTGAAAATAAAATAAATACAAATATAATTTTATTAAAATAATTAAATTTAATTTTTTAAAAGAACCAATAAAAATAAATAGAGATAATTTTTTTTTCTTATTCAACAATTCTAATTATGACAACACACCTAAAAAATAAATATATAAAAAAATAAATTATTTAAACACACATCCTAAACACTCATGCATATATCAATTTAAGACTCATGCATATTGCATATACCTCACTGATAGAGGTAGTGCTCTCACGGAGTGCTTTAATTGTCTTCTTCGTTAAGAAATTGACTGATTGATATCAACTATCTTCTAAAATACTTGCAGCTATATACATATATATAATATTTAATTAACCATCAATTATATATTGGCTGCCGGTGTTTGTACCTCGAGGATATTGTTGCATATGTGCACTAAAGATATACCTCAGTATAATTTTTATATACCTGCAATATAAAGTCATATGCTCCACTAACGCGTATTTATGTTCTGGTTATATATGATTGGAAAAATGGGTCATGTTTGGTTCAAACATATTCAATTGTTCTTAGTAACCAGAAATAAATTCATCATTATTGTGTTTTCACGACTCCCTGACATGTAAGTAAAGAAAAGAACACATGTTTACTATAGATGGCTAAACAAGTAAAAAATGACGTTGTTAAGTTTGTTGGTTGTTACTCATGCATCACTACTCTCACAAATTGATTATTTTTTAGACATATTACATAGTAATCCACACCGTAGCGCACACAACAACATTTAGTTCACCAAGGCTGAGAGAAGAACTGTTCTCACAGAGTACGCAAATTGGCCCCTCTCCATAAAAATGATTGAAATTAACTACACTTGAAGATGCATGATAATACACTAATAATACTTAAGAAACCATTATTTATAACTCGCATTAGGTCTTTGTACCAAGATCACATTCTTATATACCTCCATAAAAAATTTACATATCCTATGGCAGATCTTAACTACTTATAGTGTTATATGCTTCAGTAAAAAATATATATGCTATGATAACATGTGGTTGGAAAATGATCTTTTTTGTTGAAAATATTCACTTGTTGACGGTAAGTAAGGATGCATTCATTATGATAGTCTTCCTGTGACACCTCAAATTGTCAGAAAGGGTAAACAACACATATTTATTATGAATGATTAACTAAGTCAAGAATGACTTACATAAGTTGTATGATATATGTACTATTATAATCCAACCTCAAGTAGTAGATATCTAACAAAGTCATAAGTGACTAAGTTGAATTATATTGGTTGTTAGAGTACATGATTGCTACCACAAATTGAAAATCTTTAAATCTATTACATATTAATTCACACCGTACCGCACGCAACAACTTTTGATCAAGAGCATCTAAGCATAGGGTCTTACTCGGCTAAGCAGGTGAGTACTCCAGAGCAGCTATGTCGTACCCCCAAACTGGTTTCGTGTATGAAATTCTACTAGTTGTGTACCTACTGCAGTCTTTTATGTAGCTGAACATCACAGTCTCGTGACAGAATTTTCTAACTGTGTACCTTCATAGCTCATGTTAATACTTGTTATGATTTAGCATATGACCAAAAGTGACCTTGATAGATTGATTGGTACCTACGCTGCCATGTTCATGTGCTTCGATACATCAATTGTACACTCCCTAAAATGATTCATATAGCTCTGATACGTTTTCAAAAACTTATGACTTTAAAGTATCATAGAAAAATGATCACTATCACATACTTGTTGTTTGTGTCTATATACATTGGTACATTCTCCTGTTTGTCTTAGTGTATTAATTACAATCAATTGTGTATAAGTCTAATGAATACAACACAATAAACTCCGATTACTTTATATCAATTCGATTATTATTTTTTGAGACTTCATTGACCTTGATAGTACAGTAATATCATACTACGCCATTGTGCTTCGGGAGATCAACTATATACCCAACAGATAATTTGTGTGCATCTATTACGTTTCCTGATACGTGTGTAATTGAATTATCATACACAAAAGAGGACTGTCAAATACCCATTGTTGGTGTTCATGTACCACAATATATCCAAGTGGGGTTTTGCTGTTGTATATTTATAAACAATATTACATTATATCAAGTACGTCAAAATGGTTCAAACCGCCGATTACGGATTATCAAAATGTCAAACCAAAACCGAACCTTCTCAATGACGGTTTCAATTATGGTTTGACGGTTTCGATTACGGTTTAAAAAACTGACGGTTATGGTTTAAACCGCCAATTTATATATATTCATTTTTAATATTTTTCTTTTTTCTTTTTAATTTTTTCTAAATTTAAAATTGATTCAAAAATAATTATTTTCGATTTTAATTCTGTTCATGTATATTTATTATTTATTTATTATGTAAAATCATGTAAATAATAATTGCTAAGATTGTTACAATATAAAAGTAATTAAAATAATAAATTTACTAAGTAATTAAATTAAATTAAATTTTAAATTAAAATAAACAAAAATAAATTTAAGAAATTGATGTATATTAGATAATAAAATAGTTTAAATTAAATATAATTGTAAGATAAGAAATAAAAAATCTAAAATATAAATATACAAAATAATATATATATTATTATATAATTAATAATTATTTATTTTTATTAATATTAATATTATCTTTATTTTTATAAAAATTTAATTATATATACTAATTTTTATTATAAGTATATTATTATATAATATACAATTTTAATCATAAACATTCACTCTCCACATTTTACAGCTACTGCGGCAGCCGGCAGTTACAAGGGTTCGTTTCTCGTTTTATTTTATTTTTTTCGTATTTTTTTTCTTTTTCAATTTTTTTTTTCTTCTTTTTCTTTCCTCTTCCTTCTTCTTCACGGTCGCCGCCCGCCCATAACATTCTACAATCCGTAGTAGCCAATTCACAGTCGCAGCCCGCCGATTGAAATCGTAAATCAGCGATTTGAATCAACAGTTCGCAGTTTGACAAATATACAAACCGTAACAAGTAGTTCAAAAATATGTGAACATAAGATTTGAAACTAAATGGACAAATTTAAGTTTAATGTGTTATAAATATATAAAATAAATTTAAAAATATTTTAAAAATATTCTAAAAATATATTAAATTTTTATTAGAGAAAATATAAAAGAGGGACTAATACTAAACTTGACAAATCTTTTAAAATGAAAATTGAATTATAATTAAAAATCACCGATAAGAAGTGGAGACCAATTATCCGTTTAAATAAAAGGACGCACGGTGGGGTGGATGGAGGGAAGGGAATGCATATTTAGTTTATTTTAAGGGGCATGCAAGCAAATCATGAAAAATATTTATACAGAGACAGAGAGATGGGATTTGCAGACATTAATTTGAAGGGTAACTTGCCCTACCCTACCCTACCCTACCCTGCCCACCCAAATAGACTAAAACTTTTATTTATTTATATATATATTGTCAGGTGCAGATAAATATTATTCCACAATAAAAAAAATTAAAATAGTGTAAGTGAGGGACAACAAAATCAATTATGAATTAAGCCAAATTTATCTTCCAACCACCTCACATCTCAATCACAATCACATGTACTATATATTATTCAACATTTAATTTATTTCCATTCCCATTCTCATTCTTGCTCAAATCCCTTTCCCCATTAAAAAAAACTAAACCCCTTTAATTTACCAGAGAATGCAGCCCACTGTTGAACACCAAATTTCCCATGATTTAAGCACCAATCTCAATCTGACTATATCCATGGAGGACGACGACCATGATCGCAAAAACGAAGAACAAGAAGAAGAAGGAATAGAAATAGAAGAAGAGGAAGAGGAAGAGTTTTCGTTTATGGCCGCCGGCGGCAGTTCGTCGCCGATCGCGGCGGAGGACGCCTTCCTCAACGGCCAGATCAAGCCGGCGTTCCCGCTCCTCGCCGCCGGGGATTTTCCGATGCGGCCGCCGGTGGAGAAGGTGTTCGTGGAGGCCACGTCATCTTCGGCCGGCGAGTGGTCGAACCGGAAAGCGGTCGAGGCCGGGCCGGGTCCGGAGGTCTGCAAGAAGAGCAACTCGACCGGTTTCTCGAAGATTTGGCGGTTCAAGGATTTGCTCGGGAGGAGCAACAGCGATGGCAGGGACGCCTTCGTTTTCCTAAACCAGGCGCCGGAGACGTCGGCGACGGCGACGGCGACGGCGAAGAAGAAGAAGAAGAAGACGGCGGCGGCGTCGGCGCACGAGGTGTACCTGAAGAGCAAGGTGAAGGAGGAGGAGGAGCGGCGGCGGTCGTATCTGCCGTACCGGCCGGAGTTAATGGGGTTCTTTACGAACGTCAATGGTGGGCTGTCCAAAAACGTACACCCGTTTTAGAGTCTATCCTACGGTTAAGATTAAATTTGTTTCTTCTTTAGAATTCTTCGATCAACGGTTCGGATCTGCCAAGATCGAGTGTGTAGCTACTTTTCAATTAAAAAAAAAAAATGTATTATTACATACATAAATTAAAATTAACACGCCTCTTGATCGAATTTTAATCTATACACTTTATATTAAGCATATCATATCATCAGAGGATCAATTGATCAAAATTATGTATTTTATAGTAATTTATTTTTCTTAATTTTTTATTTTGTCAGGTAAAAAATTATAAAAATTTTATTGTTTGTTGATTTATACTTTTAATTTTTATATATTTTTTTTTATAATAAAACAAAATATTAAATTTTATGTAATTTTATTGAAATTTTTTTCTAAAATATTTATATTTTTTATTTTTTATTTTTAGAGTATAAAAAAAAACATTTGATCGATAAAAAAATAAATTAATTTTATTACTCGAACTTTTACAGCTGATTCTGTTGCGAAATATCATGGTCATGTGGTGTGTGTTATCGAACTTTTACAGCTGATTCTGTCGCGAAATATCATGGTCATGTGGTGTCTGTTATTGAGACTGTACGACGACCGGACATTAAATAATTTAACATTTCAGAAGAGGGGGGGCTGAAGCAGATTGTTGTCCTTTAGCTTTTGGACGAGAATTATTAGAGTTCGACCCACCTCAAGGATTCATTTTACAAGCGTTTGGATTTTGACCTGTGATTTGTAAAAAATTTAAATTAAAATAACTGTACTCTTTCAATCTCGCTGCAAGGTTATCATTGATTTTTTGCATGTTAATTTTTTAATATTAATTATTATATTAATACGTAGTGCAAATCGAGAAAAAAGACAAGAATATGTTTATTAGTCTCTTATAATACAAATAAGAATATTTTTAATGTCAAGTATAATAACGCAAAAACCAAAATGGCAACTTTGATGCGGGACGGAGGGAGTATAATATAATATAAATAGCTATTGATGTGATGTTTTAAATATAAAATTAATTTTTATTATAATATAAAAAATAAAAAATAAGCGTTTTATTTGATATTTTGGAAAAAAATAAATAAGGGATGAATAGTTAAAATCCAAACAAACACACTCTGAATATCAAATGTAAAAATGGATATATAGGATAAAGGACAAAACTTTCTGCCACATAATTTCCGGTATAAGATGGAGATGTTCTGTTGAAGAAAAAAAATATATTTTTTTTGAGAAATAAATACAAAATCCAAATAATAAAAACTTAACATTTTGGTTAAGAAAACAAATTCTTAGATAGTTAAATACCGTGAATTTATTTGTGGATACGAGTATAATAATTTCAAAAAAATATCATTTCATATCAAATATATATATATATATATATATTTTTCAAAACTTCAATAATAATTTCAAAAAATCTATGTCTACCAATACCATTGATTGATTAATGAAGATTGGATATGCAATTATAATGCCGACAGACAGACACACATCAACGAAGAATTTTTTAGGCTGATGATATAAAGGGTAACAGACCGACTAAATGAATATTTTTAGAACTTTTCACCAAACATCCTTGCTATATACTCCTTTCATGAAAATAAATTGTTCATATTTTTTCACATAATTTGTTTATGATTGTTTTAGAAAATAATTATATATTTTAATAAAATTTTATAGTTTAAAATCTCTATAAAAAGTTGAAATTTAGATAAAAAGATTCATAGCAAAGTGTATGAATTTTATAGCAAAAATATTGTTGCGACGAAACTTATTTTGTCGTCTATATCGCATAAAAGTCTTTTGACGACAAATATGACTTAAGTAATAAAAAATAAGATTTTTTCAATAAAAGTTAAGAAAAGAGATACAGCTACGAAAATATAATTACGTAGCTAAAGTTATTTTGCTATAAAAATAAAATTTATAACAAAAATAGCTTTAGCAACAAAATATGTATGATCTTTTTAATTTTAGCTATGAAAAATATTTTTCTAGTAATTTTATAGCAAAAAACTTTTAGCAACGAAATTAATGTTGTAGTAAATAATTTATTTTTAGTGACGAAATTAATGTTATAGCGCAATACCCGTAAATTTAAAAAATTAGCTTAAATCACTTTGGTTGTGTTCTTTTGTGAGTTTTAACACGGAGTTTTACTATTCAAATTTTTTTTCCTAAAAAAAATCAAATCGAACAATTTTTTTTTTTATATATTATACTACAAATTTATTTTACATTCTAAATATCACATCAACATCTATTTATATTACACCAAACAACTATTCAAATTTAATTTTTTACTATTAATAAATCCAAGCCCAAAACTCCAAACCCACGAACAAACACACCCAAAAATGTTTTAAAAAAGATGCATACGTCCCACCCAAAAATTTCGACCAAGACCGTTATGCCCTCATTTATCAAAAACTCCTGTGGCAAAACTTTTGCAACATATGGAGAGATCGGAATACAAATTGGCTTAGAGTTCAACATATGGAGTTGAGAGAGGAGATCACAAATATATTTATTTTAGACTAAGATCAAATACAATAATGTGTTTGTTCAAGGGATTTGATTAGATTTCCACTATTCATTCCATTTTTTTCCCCAAAAAATATCAAATCAAACATCTATTTTTTATTTTTTATATTATACTAAAAATTAATTTTACATTCAAAACATCACATCAACACCTATTTATATCACATCATACAACTATTCAAATTCAAAAATTTTACTATTCAAATCCCAATTTAAAATCCAAATCCCCAAACAAACACACCCTAAAGTGCGTTAGTGATTTCAACACTAAGGAAATAAGAGCTACAACCAAAATTTTTGATATAGAAGCATTGAGCAAGTTGATAAGAAGGGATTGAACTAACAAAGAGTCACTTCTTGTGATGACAATGTCATCAACATAGATAAGAAGTAAAACTTGACGTTTTCCTTTCTAGAGAACAAATAGAGATGTATCGGCCATGTAGTTGACAAAGCGAGGAGTAAGAAAAAAATTTTGAAGGTCAATTTTACTATGCCTTAAGCATTTTCTTGAATCCATACAAGTTTTTCTTCTACTTACATACACATATAGAGTTGTCTTTGTCCATAAATCTTGAAGATTAAGCCATATATACAACTTTCTTGAAATGTCCATAAAGGAAGGCTTTATTTATATCCACGTCTAATGGAGTAGCCAACCCAGGGAGATTACAAGACTTATAGACTATCTGAATAGTAGAGGGCTTGACAACAAGGCTGCATGTATTACCACGGGCGGCTCGTAGCAAGAGCAAAATTAATAGAGACCCATATTTTAAAATATTATCCATTATTATTATTAAATTTTAAAATTAATAATTAACTTCTAGTTTATATTTGTTTCTCCTCCATAATTATTCAATTTAATTTTAAAGCTAAATTTAAAATTCTAATCATATATTTTTTCTATCTCTTTCTTTCTAACCGTGTCTCACCTCACGTCTCACCCTATCTTTCCAAACTTAATCGTCGTCTACACTTCTTTACTTCACACCCTATCGCATTACGCTCACCAACTAAGACCAAGCCTGCCTCACCTTTTCTTTTATCTCATTCACCCTCCTTCAGTCGTTTTTATCTTTCAAACTTCGGACAGACCGTCTTTTATTTTATTTTTTCTTCAAATTGACATTGTTTAGACCGTCACGTTCAACCTTTTGTCCTATCGACACCAACAGTGATATTATTTTGAATATACATTTTTATCATAGGTTTATATGACTTATAATTTATTTTCGCTCATAGCCTCAAAAAAGTTCGAGACGGCCCTGTGTATCACAATAGTCAACTTCCAAACATTTATAAAAGGTTTTAGTGGCAAGACGATCTTTGTATCTATCAATAGAACCATTAGGGGTATAATTACTTTCAAAACTCATTTATGATATACAATATTTTTCTAAAAACTAAAGGGGAACAAGATCCCAAATGCTATTATGAATTAAGGCATCAAATTCATTGGACGTAGCTTGGCAACAATGGGGATTCTTAAGTGCCTGGATCATAGTTGTGTGAATGACATCCTACCTACAAACATGGGTTAATCAATGAACTCACATTGTGATCGAATATTGTTGTTTAGGGAAAAAGAAAAACATTTTTGTCTTTTAAAGTACACTTTATGAATTAAAGCAATCTTCTAGACAATGGTACAAGTGTTTCGCAACTTTATGTTTCGCAATTTGTTATTCTATGTTAATATACGCTCATTGCTTCTAAAAATAATGTGGAAAATGACAGTTTGAAAACCTTTATGAGTAGTGAATTAAGATGAAAGATTTGGAAGAATCAAAGAAGATTGTAGATATGCCTCTGCCAGTGACTGTAGGAATTTAGCACGAATCACATTATGAGTAGTGAATTAAGATGAAAGATTTGGAAGAATCAAAGAAGATTGTAGATATACCTCTGCCAGTGACTGTAGGAATTTAGCATGAATCACATTATATCATAACTCTTTAATCACTTGTATTTTCCATTCTTCATTTTAGAATGTTTAAGCAGCTTATTGGTATAATTCTTTCATAAGAGCTCTTTGCGTCGATTATTGTAGAATTTCATACCCAAAATTTTCTTAGCTTCTCCAAGATCTTTCATCACAAATTCATTGTTTAGAGAAGTTTTCAATTTGTCAATTTCTACCTTATTATTAGAAACAATAAGCATATCATCAACAGAGAACAACAAATACATAAATGTAATATCGTATACACAACTGTCATAATTATCTTTATTGTAGCCATACCCAACCATAAAAGTACTGAACTGCTTGTACCATTGTCAAGAAGATTACTTGAGTCCATAAAATGATTTTTTCAAGAGACAAACATTATTATTATTACTTTTTTTTTCTAAAGAGGAACAAATCTTTCCGGTTGATGCATGTAGATTTCTTACTCAAGCTCGCCAAGCTAAAAAACTATCTTAGCATCAAGCTATTCAAGCTCCATATCAAATAGAACAACCATAACAAGCAACACACAAATAGAACTATGCTTCAAAATAGGAAAAAGAAAATCAATACCTTTTTCCCTTACTATATCTCTTGGCTACCAATAGCAGTATGTTTCTTTTGCCAAAAGTCTCAAGTTTCTACTTTTTGAACTTTGCGTTTTTTCTAAAAAAAATATATTTTTTTCTCTCATAAAACATTACATCATACATTATTTTAATTTATTTGTCCTCTCTCTCGAAGGTGGATTTATTTGTCCTCTCTCTATCAATGGCGATATTGGGTTATTGTTCTTGTGAGACACCAAAGTCTGAGTTAAGGGTGAACAAAATGTCCAAATTTTGAATATTCGAGCAAAACAAAATTTTAATTTTGATTTGGAGTTTTTGGATAATTGTTTTTTTATATATATATAAATTTGGAATTGTCAGCTCGGTTCGGATTGATATAATAAAAATCTGAACAAGTTAAAATACAAAATATAACATATATATAATATTTTATTATTATATATATTGAATAATTTAATGAAAATATGAAGTTCATAATTATATATTAATATGTACATTATTTTATATATATTTAATATTTTAATAAAATCGTCAAAATTTTGGATTCAACATATTATGCAATTTTGAAATTTTCGATTTGGTTCAAATTTCATAATTTGGATTTAAATTTTCAAATTTTGAATTTTTGAATTTCCTTATTTTCGGTCTATTCGGATTGAAATCGAATTTCAGACACAAGTGATCTTACGACTATTAGTAGACTAGATTGAAGTACCTTCTTGTCCTTTTCCCCTAACTCGACCTTCTCACAAACTACCTGCATTATATATACTTTATGACTATTTCTTTCCGTAAAGCATAAATTTTTCGTCAAACTTAACATCTCTACAGATAAAAAATTTAGATAAACTAGGCTCAATGCACCACGTACCGTACAATCTATAGCCATTCGTCCCATCTGCATAGCCTAGAAATATTCACTTCTACGACCAATGCTCAAGCTTCCCATTATCTACACGAACAACAAAATGATTTTAAGTTAGAATAATTAGCATAAGTTTAGACTATACCTCATCGGGAGTCTTCAAACCAATAAGAACAGAGAGAAATCTATTCACCAAGTAGAAAGCCAAATTAATGGGAGATCCAAATACGATATGCGGTCAAAAGTAAAACTACATTAAACAACCCACAAAATGGCACTTAAAATCAGAACAAGATTAAAAGAGAGATTTCAAAGCTGATTTCTTGAAGAGACAAATATGATCTTCTTTTTCCTGAACAATAGATATATATTAATTAGCTTATTTTGGTACCTTCACAGTCGGAGCCTATATTAACATTTGCATGTAAATTACTACTGTATGATTCACTTAATTAAAAACGAATATCAATTAATCCATCTGCGATGTGTTTACTAAATAATCCCATCAAATTAAACATAGTAAACATGTTCTTAGATTATTTAGATACAAATAAACATAGAAGGAGATTTCATTAAATCTAATTCAAGCTATGTAAATGCAAAATATCAAAGGCAGTGCTATGACTGATATAACATACCATTACATTAAAACCACCAACGCAAACATTCAAACTAAAGCAACTCTACTTATACCCATAGGACAATATCAAAAAAATAAATAAATAAATACACACACACACACATGTTAATCTTTCACTTCTAGATACTCACAGGATTTTAACACATCAGTTCTGATCTGATCAACCAGATCAGATCTAGTGTGGATATTTGCACTACATTGCGCAAAAACCTCATCAGAAAAAAAAAAAAAGTATGGAAGGTAAACTCAGGTAAAAAATTTACATTGATGACAGCAATGTTAAATGTATCCAACAAACCAGATAGTGAAGAACAGAGTAAGGCGGGTGGTATGGACAATGTTTTGAGAGCTTAGCTGTATAGAAAATACTCACAGGAAATCTTGGTTGTCATCGCAAGTCACATATTTCAAGTCTCAGGTTTTGGCTGAAGATGATATGAGAGCAATCCTCGTATATAGAGGCTCCATTTGTAGGTTCTTTGTGAGGATGAAAGCCAGTTTCCTTGCATTCCTTGAGAATGCTCATTCCCTCGGGGTCAGAGAGCCTGAATATTTCGTATTTCCTGGAGTGAAAAAAAGAATTTAGACAAGTTCACAGAAGAAGCTGCAGGATTACTTATGTAGGTGCCATAACTCTTCTAAACAAATGATGGAACATATATTTCACAAATTTAACACTGCAGTCATATATGCATATAAAAGAATTAAACAATTCCATAATCAAATTCTTCATGAAAATAATCTTATATTCATTCATATTATTCAATTATTTTGTAATACATTATATCAAACTATGTTTCTTGGAAAAGAATAACCGTAATTTTCATTTAAATAAACAGTATCTCACAACTGCAAAGATGCATCCAAATATAGCAATTCAACAATCAGAAATCGCCAGTGTCAGATATATTGCTGACCTGGAGTCATCACTTGGAGCAACGACAATTGCCACTGCTTCGGGTACCATCATCTGGATAAAAGAGTATCACAAACATGAATGTAAGTCTAATACATGTGCAGATCGTATAACAGATCTTTTGATATTCATATATGAAAACAAATCTGTAATCATTACTTAAAGCAGACATTCTTACGTGTTGTTTCACACCGAACTACAATAGCATCCAAATGAACAAAGAAAAGCAAGAAATGTTTGAAACTTAACAAAAATGAATTCTTATTACAAATTTATGGACACAAAAAAAATATATAATGTTAAATATAACACGATCTGCCAGTACAAAGTTAAACGTCACTCAGAATTAGCAAAATATATAATAAACCAGGGTCATAAACTATTCGCCCAGTTATAGCAATGAGGATGTTTTACCTGATATGTGTATTGGGTGTGCAGATCAATCGACGACATGAACGAACTCTGAGATGGATGAGTCTGAAAAAATATACAAATTTATACATGTAAGAAAATTTTCTGTTGTCAGTTGAATGAACTTATGTCTCTAACTCTGAAAACTTCCATAGATACATGATAAACATAAACACTTCATACATGATTCTTACTTATCTCATTTTCACAACTCAAAGTTTCGGTGTGTGAAAATAACAAGCATATCATATTCAAGCGAAGAAAGTAAATGATGAACTCCTAGGAGGTAATAGTACACCAAATTTGATATCCATGATGAAAATGATAGCATTCATTTCTGAAGAAGAAAAAGAAGGAAATAAGTTCAACAGTGATGTGGATAGGCATTTGGGAATGGGACATACTGTTGAAGTTAGTAATTGAAACATAATTACGTACATGAATCCACCCAATGGGGAATAGGGTCTCATCATTTAGGATGGCATGAATCTCTTCCTCCTTTAATGCCTGACACTAATTAGTGGAACACCAGTTTACAAACTTGGTACTACAAGAAAATGTTACATATTTATGGGACTTGAAGTAGTTCCTACTTCCTAGTTTAACTTGAAATTCTATGAAAAACAAGAAATGCTTACAGAGTTTGAGGTGGCCTCTTGTTTTGGAATTATCAGAGTAGTAACATAAAAAGTCTCATTATTCTGCATCATTAAAAACAGAATGAAAGCAGAGTTAATAACACTTTCAATGGTAATGGAAAATTCAAAAAAGCAGAAACATACATAAGCATTCATGTTAAAGCTTTGAACAAGAGACCTAGAAAGTAGAAACCAAGGTAGCTTTACGTGAGAGAGTTGTTTTACCATTGTGTCAAGCAAGGGCAACAGAAAGAAACTTGATTAGCATCTCCTAATGCCAAAAATGGTCAATAGGAAGATGGTATAAATTTCAGCATTTGTTAAATATAAGAACAGAAAGAATGACGAACAGGCGCATTAGCTCCAAATAACATTTGTGCATCAAGCTTTCTACTTAATGAGAATATGCTGATACAATAACAATGGCTACTAGTGCTACAAAAATTATGATATCGATTGTAAACTTTTGATGCTATGCAGAGTAGTGGAACTTCAACATCACCATGACTAGTAACTGACTCCATTAAAAAGCTCTCCTTATGAATATAAATAAATAAATAAACTCACAAGGAATGCACCAAGAACTCCACATGTCTCGAGATCTTTGGTAGTGTTGCTGCTAGCAGCATTAAGAAAATCCTCCATCAATCGTTCTGACTGGTAATTGTTCATCAGTGAAGCAGTGTTAAAAATTGAAATATAATCAGAAATAGATTATAATGCTATACAAATAAATAAACAAGTGCAATATTCCATTATCCGACAGGAATATGAACATTTGAAGGTTGACCTCTTGGTTTTATCTCTTACCATATGAATGTTTTTGAGATATTTGCATGTTGATTGATCATCACTTGAAGGATTCAGCTGAGCATCTAGTGCATTGGTTACAGCACTTGGTGATGTTCCAGTTCCATGAGGTGGAGGTTGCAGAAAGGAAACTCCAGGAGATGGAAAAGACTTCGTCACAGCATGTACATCAGTCTGTCCATAACAAAGAAAAGGAAAAACGCGTCCAGCCTCGAAAATATAGTTTTACTGAAATTTAAACCAAACTGCTGAGTTCTTCGATTTAGCTATTTACCTGCCCTGTTTAGTATGCGAAATTTAATGCAAGCGCAAGGGACAATCAGTTTGAGTTTATAGCGAGTGCATTCAATTATATTGAACTGCTAAAAGTATAAATTGTTCATACAAGAAAAGTGTTACATGACTCGAACAGGTGTTGTATATTATTTAATGCAAGAACTGGTGCATTTTATATTGTTCACAGAATCTGAAATGGTTCCCAAAAACATCTTTCCAAAGTGATCATTTTCATTATCAGCATATGCCTCAATCTTATTCCCATTTTAGCTTTCACCTCATCTATGATATATTCTATGCATTTGTATGTCTAAGATCTCAATATACATTATATATGTATTCAAGTGTATACCATATTCTAGTACTTCTGATCATGAACTTCATACTATTAGTCCATACATGTTTGTAAGCTACATAAATGTTACATACAAATATTTAAAAGGCATGCTTCTATGTCCATGCTCCTAGGGTAGATTTTAGTAGTTGCCTTGTTTTGCACAATCACCATATCCATCAGTCTTATCTTCTATAGTAGGTGATTGAGATGCTCACCAACACAATCCTCCTTGAAAACCTAATATTCTTATCAACCATCAGTGTTAATATGCGACAGCAAAGTGATTCCAACATCTCCAAACAATTCCTAATTCTTTCAAGGTTTTACAATTCATTTATACCCTATCATTCTACAGCAACAGACACAGTAACTTTTGATAGATCAATACAAACTTGCGATTTTAGGATATTGTCATTCATGTGTTGAATTCTACCACCAATTCGAGAATTAGAATATCCATGAATGACCATGAACGACAGTAATTTGAGAAGGGAAAGAAGAACCCACCATTTCCACGCAAACTGCGGAGTCAATTAAAACTTAAGCACCAGAATATCACTCTACGTGCTTCTCATCTCCATACAAGTAATTTACCCAGAGCCAGATTTTGCAGATGAACCTGATAGTCTGAGGCACCGCAAGAACGGATGAACATAGCAGTAGAAACCATCCATCTTCAGTAGGTCATTTTTTTTTTTTTGTGGTAATAACCTTCTTACTTCTACTTCATTATTTTTGTATCTTGTCTCATCTACATTAAACTATTACTTTGAAGGTGATCATTTTTCGTGAAAATTAATAAACTTACAATAACTATATTTTTCTACTAAAAAGTAAAAATAATGAATTTTGTTATAATAAAAACTGAAAATTAAATCATAAAAATAATAAAGAAGATGACTAGCAGATGTAATGCATTTTAATGTTAGCAATTAATACGTTAATAAAAATTTACGGCATCTAGATCTTACTTGTGGTACATATAGTTTGTCTTTGTTGTAAAACTTAATTTTCACAAATTTGCAGACTATTAGGTTCATTATCCAGAAAGCACTCGTCCCCCGAATTCCATAGTTAAAGAAAATAGAAAATAACTTGAAGCACGGGTAGATAAATAGTAACATTAAAGAATACAAAAATAAATATTTCATGTATCAATATTTGAAAATACCCTTACATTTTACCATATATTATATAAATATCTTTACCTTTATTATCACACAATATTAATAAGGTTATTTTTTAGTCAATTTTTTCTATTTTATTCATACCCACATCTCAATATAATATTAATATTTCTAAAAAAAAAATGCATAGATAAAAAACTGAATGAGTAATATAAATCATACAACATTATAAAATAAAATATATTAAAATCAATTTACATATACTTTTATTTCTATTTGTTTGATTTCATAACTAATATTGACCGCATGTAAAGGATGGCCTGGTGATGTGAGGATTGGACGTGGGTTCAAATCCCCAACGCATAGCGACTGCGGGTTCTGTCAATAAAAATAAAATAAAAATTTAAAGCCAACTTCATTGCTTCATAAATGGAGGAAGTTTTCTCGACGGAGGAAGACTTTTGTAAATTGCATTTTTATCATTTGGGTTAAAGTTTTTTATACATCTTTAGCATTTTTTACTTATTTTTTACACTTGTGTTATTTACTATTTCCGTCTCACTTAATTTATCCATTATTTTTATTTTCGTTGGTTCCATATAATTTATTTATTTTTTTTGGAAATATAATTATATACTTTAATTTCATTTTAAAATTCATAATTTATATATATTTTTAATTTTAATTAAACTATTTAGCAATTTTAATCTTAATCTATGATTATGTTTATTAAGAGTGTGTTTGGCAATTAGCTGATAGCTGTTAATTGATTCGATTAACTGGTTTGACTAGCTGATTCGATTAGTTGTTTGTATTAAAGTATTTGGTAAAATAGCGATCTGATATTAGTTATTTATACGTAAAATAAAAATTAAGGACATTTTATATTTTATTTTAGTTGAGTTTTTTCGGTAGATAGATGTTCTTAGAAATTTATTATTAATTTTAAAAATTAGAAAATTTTTATTAAGATATTTATTTTTATTATTTTAAAAATTTTTTGTAAAGAATTAATACAAGTTTATTAAAAAAATATATTTTTTTCATTAGAAATTGTATAAATATAAAAGAACAAAAATTATTAGTATATGTATTTTGTTAGATTAATTTTTAATTAATATATATTTACATTAAATTTTTAATTTTTAATAAATATATTTATTTTCAATAAAAATATTATGTGATAAAAATACTATATAAATGAAGCAATAATATTAATATTTTTATAGTATCTTTATTTAAAAAATAAAAAAATATATAAATAAGATAATTGACATATAAAAAATAATTATTTTAAATTTATAAATATGAATTTATAAGTAAGAAAATATACCAAAATAATTAATAAATAGTGTAATAAAGTATATATTAATATACATTAAATAATTAATTAATTTTAAGGGTAAATAATGAATACGAATAATTAAAACGAAAAAGTAAATTTGAAACGTGGGATATAGAGATTTTTCAAAATAAAAACGCTAATTTACCAAACACCAAAATTAGTTGATTTACTGGTCAAATAACTTTTTGAAAAAACTATTTACCAAACCTCTTCCAAATCATAATTATATTTACTAATACACTTTTTATTATTTTTACTAATATAATTGTTAATTACTTATTAATTACACAATACCCAAAACTCTGTGCCTCAGCTAAATAAAACAAATTAGCTGGGACAAAGGAAGTAATAAATATCAATTCAGTTTGAATGAGAAGTTGAGGTTATGTGTGAACTTCATATTAGGTGTCTTTAGTAATGTTTTTTTTTTTTTTTTTTTTTTTTTTTTTTCAGTGTCTTTGCTGGATTATCTTTTCTGTTTTTCTTTTAAGCATTATTATTTTTACTTATTATCTTTACAATTTTATAAAATTCATCATAATTATTTATTTTTATATATTTTTATTACCTAATAATATATAAATAATATTTATTATGTAATTTATCTTTAAAATATTAATTTATATAATAATATTATATAAAATTTTATATTATGAAATATTAAAATTATTCGAATTTATAAAATTAGTGGCATTTTAAAAATCTGAATGATTGAAATAAACTTAAATTAATATATTGTCGGAATAATTTTTTGTTTCCGATAGTTTTGTTGAAGAACTAGTTGAAAAAAGATTATATATAAAAATTTTAAAAAATTTAAATGTTAAAATTGAATATATAAAAAAATTTATTGAAAAATATGTAGGTGAGTCTTGATTTTTTGAAATAAATTTAAATTTGTATTTGTATAAATAAATTATTGATAAATTTAAAATTTTAAAATTTTAAGTTATAATTAATTAAACAATTATTTATTTATTATTTTTACAGAGGTATGAATTTTTTTTTATAGAAATGAGTATTAAATGTATTTTCTAACACAAGTAACACATCTTATTATAATAAAAATTAAGAAAGTAACGAGAGAGATAATAGAGAATGTAATTGTAACGAATGATCTAATATATAATAAATTATCATTATATTAAATATAACTATTACAAAATAAAATAAAAATAAAATACAACTACAAATATTTATAAATATTAAAAAATAAGAATTAACTAAATTACTGAAATAAAAATCCAGATATATATTACTATTTTTTATCATAATTTTTTATTTATTTATTTTTTAAAGCATTAATTTTTTCACACAAATATTAATGAAATTAATTAATAGTATATTATTATTATTTTAAAAATTGCTGATATTGTATAATTTTTATTTATTTAAAAAAATATTTTTTTTAAATTAATATGTAAATAAATAAAAGTTGAATAAAAATTATATAATTGTTCAAAATAACAAATATATGCATAATCTTCTTTCTAAAGGAAAAAATTAAAGTTTTGAGTGAAGTTAGAGAAAATTTTGAAAATTTTTTTTTCTTTATTTTGAGAAAACGAAGTACTCGGTTAAAGATGGTCTAAGCCTACTACTATGAGTGCTAAAATTTTTTCTAATAAGGATATTTGACTTCATTTGTGTTCCACTAATTTAATATATCAAAATTTTGTGTCCGTTATAAAACATTTTATTTGCAATATATGTCAAACTCTAACATCATAGACATCCTAGAATAATCATTCAAAATTGATGCCACAAATGATCATATTTTTTTAATAGATCAAAATTAAATACATCAATAGAAACAAGTTGATTGCAAGACACTGTACTTTACAAATCTAAGACACAAACATCAACATCGAACTCATATTCGCAGAATACATAGCTTTATACTGGTAATCAATTAATCTAACAATTTTGATGAGGTAGATTAACATGAATCTCAACTCCATTGCCATATCTAATTAAAGTAAAACTCAAATAACTTCAATTTGTACATATGATCCAATACATCAGCAACTCCTAACATGATATGACAATCACTCTAATATTTTTCATACTTTGCAAAGTATTTTTTTTGTGTCACTTCTTGAACCAATACATTTGGACTATTTATTTATCCATCTAATTTTGGTTTGATCTCATATATATATATATATATATATATGCGCAAAATAGAAATTAGATGTAAGATACAAAGTTTCAGAAAATAACTTTATCACCCGATAGAAAACCTTCAACCTTTAACATTATTTCTCTTGCAGTTTTCCAAACTTCTTATTTGACTCACTATTGTAATTTCTCTCTCCGCATTTAACTCATAAAAACAATTTTTATAAATTACAATTATCTCTTACATCAAATAGGTAGAGTTCTAATGAGTTATACAATCTAAAATTAACCTTATAATATAATTAAAAAGTAATTGACGAGCAACTTCTTCAAAATTTTCAATTTTATAAGGTGGAGTAGTCCGATAAATGAAATTATCATATAGATTTTCAATTGCAACACTAATTATTTCCAATTCATCTATAACAATCAAATTCAATACATGTGCAAAGCAATGTCTATGAGGTACTCTCTCATCCACAAGTATATACCTTGTTGAGAGTTTTCTCAAAATATTGTGAATCATCGTATCAGTAGTAGTACAATTATTGACAATAATAGTTCATAATTTTCTCAATATTCCAATCAATAAAAAATTCAATAAGGACATTGGATAAAACTTTAGAAGTCTGAGGAACGATCCGATAACAAACCTATAAAGTAAAATATTTGTTAGTAACTTTCAATAAATATACATAAGAAAAAAAAAGAAAGAAAAAACCTCAAAATTACATTTTGCAAAGTCTAAGAAGCATCAATAAAATGTCCAGTAGTTGATATAAATCCTTTCTTATTATTGCTTGACGTCCACATGTCCATTGTGACGGTAATTCGACTGTTAAGCTTCTACAATATCTCATAACACTTTGACTTTCCAACTTCATAAATCTTGAAAATATCACATTTAAAAATATTTCATATAATCATGTTAAAAATAGTTGAAGATTACCAACAAATCTTCGAACACCAACATAGTCAACCATTGTCAATGAATGTTCATGCAAAATTAACCATTATCCAAATATTATGCATTGAATCTTCTTGATTAAATACATAATTTTCAATTATTTGATCTCCACCATGTATTTTGTTTCC